GTCTCACCTAAATCTCGATGGCCCGGTTTCTCCGGGAACCGGAGACCCATAATTCTGGCCTGTGGGCGGAAGGATCACCTTCGAACAGTAAAAGAAGATCGGAAGACGAGGACGGAAGAAGAAAAAGAATCGAAGGAAAGAAGAAAGAGTTCGAACTATTGATGTTAACGAAGACCGAAATGCCTGTAAATCGTTCAAATCAATGGATCTACGTACTAATCCATGATTTGTCCTCTGATATCGAATTCCTTTCGAGAATACCAGATGTATGTTTAATTTCATCGAATCGCAGCCACACGTGGTGGAGAACTTGTCTGTACGCGATCACGAATGGAATCCGTACAGGAGCGACATTAATATCCATTATATTCCCAGCGGTCCGTTCGTTCGCCTTCTTCCGTCCACTGCGCGGAAACGACGCGTTCGCGAACCGTTTCATGATTTATAGGGAAAGTTTAGCTACCGTGATTACCCAGGGAGGGTAGCGACAGTTGGCAACCCTTCCATTTTCCCGTTATCTCGCTTTCCGTCATTCGCTCGAATTAGTCGAAACGCCGCGTTTCCGGTCACGTCGTTATCTTTTCCAGAAACCGAGGCGCCTTGAGAGGTTTTAGAACACGGTTATTAAAACCGACTCCATTCTGCTCCGAGTTGAATTCGGTTTTATTCAAAGTGCGAAGTCCGGATTGGATGCAATGCCTTCGGTGAGTTCGTGACGTTTCCTACGACAGATTCGGGCCGTTCCTCGATAAAAACGGTCACGGAGCAGATGACATTATTTGAAGAGAGAGATAAGCGGAAATCCCCTCTGTTCATTTCGCATTCTTTCGGGTCTCCGCGTTCACCGAACAAGCGTTCGCGTATGTACCACGGAATTCTGAGAGCGCACGGACCGGAGAAGCGACAGAATTGCCGCTGTCAGACGTTGCAGCCACGGAAAAAGGGAAACGGACGTTCGTAATCCGTGCATAAGCAATCGAGATATTTTCCCTCTCTCCGCGAGATTAAACGTCTGCGATGCGCAACGACGTAATCTCGACGGAGGGAACGGCTTATAGAAAGGTACTCCAAAGTGTGCGCTACTCACGCGATTTGTTCAAATTTCATAGTGAAAATTCAACAGATTTATCATTCATGAAACAAGACGACTTTCATTGCATTTTATACATTGAATTACCGAGACTGGCTGTTCTCGTTCTCGTAAGAACCACGTGAAACGTATTTTGCATGTATATTCGTTTTAAGACTCGCACAGTAAAAAAGGATTTCTTTGACGGATTCTGAGCGCAAGAAAGCGATTGTTTCGTCGTTGCTCGACTATAAACGAATTACGTTTGAGAGAGGAACGCGGCCGGAGGGCGTGCAAGAACCAGAAAAATCGCGGTTCCGTGGTGTTTTTCGTGGCCCGCCGCGCTGGGTAATGCGTTCGCGGAGTCGTTTGGTACTCTCTTCGTCTTCTTGCCGCGAGACGCGCCAAAAACTACCTACTCCCTCGGCGCGTCGCCCTTTCCCACCCACGCCGTCGTCTTCATCCGCCCCCGTCTCGCTCATTCCGCACAGATGTCGCGTTACGACTCTCGCGCGAGCAACCACCTACAATTCTCCCCGCGTATGCCAGATGTCATGTAAAAAGTTTCAACCGCGGCTTCCGCGTTACCAAAACGTATTCCTGCTCTAATGTCCCGGTACATTTCAATTTCGGGGTTAACGGCATCGTTTAAGCTGATGGTAACCGAGACACAGAGCCTGGGACCCGATCCGATATTCCACGGCCAGAAACGATGTACATATTTTATCGCATAGTAAAATGGGACGAAGTTAAAAATATATAAATTGCTCTTTTTATTGTTCAGTTAAGAATAAAAGGAAGCGCTCTATTGTTTTCTATTCTCGTTCGTATTAGCACGCAGTCGTCCAACTGTTCACAATGCTACTTTGCCCTGCCATCCTGGAATGAAACGAAACTCGCTAACTTTCCCCTTCTAATTGATTCATCCACCCCTGGTCGGCCTACCGCTGCCAATAAAGCTCCTGGAAGAATCGTTAAGCCACCCCTAGCTGACCATGGGAGAAAGAAGTTAGCTGCGAGTTAGCCACGTCCCCCAGTTTACACGCGCGTGATTAATGTCGACGAGTGATTTTAATAACCGCGCGGATATTTACGAGTGCTACTAATTGACGGTTCGACGCCTATTCCTGGTGTTCTAGCGGTGTCTAGACCCGAAGGTAAACGATGGCTCCGCGGGGGTCGCGCGGAAGATAAAACTTTGATGAGAACCTGGCCACGCGACCGGGGACACGTGCCAACCGGGAATGTCTGAACGATGAATTCGTTCAAAGCGAGACAATTTCCTTTCCCGACGGATTTTAATATAGGGATTTTCTTATTGGAACTCGACGAAACGAGATTAATTTTATTGGCTGGCAACGCCGTGGCATCAAAGACGGGCTTCCACGTTAAGGAGTCCGAAAATGTACGAGGAATTAACAAATCACTTGGAAGACATGATAAATGCTATCTATTAATGAAACTTTTCCTAACGGCTGGCAAACATTTGAGGAATGTAACGCGGATTGCAAAGTTCATCGAATTCATCGGTGCCGAAACTATTTGAAGAGGGTGAATTTCACGGGAGCGCCAATGCCTTGTTTCGAGCTATTCGAGGCCGGGCAGTAAACGTAGCCCCTGGTTTTTTACGAGGCGGCCAACTTGCGCAACAAATTCTATTACACGGCCGTTGTAACGTATCGCGGAGAACGGTTACGAAAACTTTCGCAACCGCAGCGGCTCTCCGGTTAAAACAAGAGCTCGGTTCGAAGTAAAAAAAAAAAATAAGGTTCGAAAGAAAGAAATGGGTGGTCGAATCGGGTCTAGGGGTAGCTGCGGTGCGGTCGAGGGAAGGTGGAAAAGAGCTCGTTGCACCCCGGGCATCGATGGCCACTTTTCCCTCCGGGTACTCGTCACCGAATTCGATGAAGCTGTATATAGAGAGCGACGGGGCTGGAGTTAATGCAGTTCGCTGCTACCGAGCGATAAAGTTTTTAGCGTTGCGAGCTAGTCGCAATTCCCTCCGACCGATTCAAACGCAGCCGTAAAACGTGCTTCCAGATTAATTCCGCGGTTGTCTTCCGTCCGACAATCTCGTAACAAGACTTGCCGAACCGTGAACGACCTCGAGTGTGTTTAATATAAAATAACCCGGACGATATTCAATTGTTGTGCGAAATCTCGGTGCGAAAAGAATTTCGAATTACCCGAAGATTTACATACTGTAGTTTTTCATGATACGTTTGCATAAAACCTGCATTTTACAAAACGTTCGATGTATTCTATTGACGATTTTGATAAAACAAATTCGCGTGAAACAATAAAATAGAAATATTCTATACCGAAGATTTGTTATAGCAGGAGGCATGATTTTATAATCACTTTTCCCTGGTACAACGGTTAATCAAATGGTCAATCGGCAAGCTTGACAAGGAAAGACTGCTGGAACGATGCATTTCGTGTAACTCAACTTGGAAGCGAATATTTCATGCGGGTGTTGTCGATGGCCGAGCAAGCAGGCGGTGGAAATAAAATATTGATCCGCCGCAAATATTGAGCTGGGATAACTAAAATGTTACAAATAAAACAAACAAAGTCTTCCTCCTGTTGAGACGACTCGTCAACTCGATCGGGACTTTAAAACAATTTTGATATCTCATCTCCGAAAGTCGCGAACCCTCGCCCCGGACGGTGGAGAAGGAAACTTTTCAATTTCCGTGGAAAAAATCGCATTACCGTTCGGCCGATCGACGATTCGATGATACGCGTCTCGTCGCAGAAAACATTTATCACGGAACGGTTTATCAAAGGCTTATCTCGCGGAACCGAAACAATAATTCAACGAAGTTGTCCGGCTCGTAAGCGGCCGGGCAAACTTGGGGTTATTTGGGCAGGTTATTACACGACGCTCCGCAAACCCTCTCCACCCGCCTCTCTTTAATCCGAATAAAAATGTCCCGCTGTTTGACAGCGTTCGCCATGATATTTTTATTCGGATTAAACGGATATCGCTCGAGGGTAGGGAAAACCTCTTTTCGTTTATTTTCGCGAACAACGCTGCCGAAATTCGTCAATATCTGCTCCGTCTCTTTTTTCAGGTTTCCTATCTGGTAGGCATACGAGATTAATTAAACCTCTCCCGAGGTTTCGATATTAACCGACGACTCCGCGTCAATGTAATTCCGACATGTTGCGTTCGGTGTTCTTAGGGTAAATTAATATCACGGAGGCGGTTGAAACACGTGTTCCAAACGCCAACGAGGATCCGCTAACAAGTACGTACGTGGTTTCAGGGTAATACGCTGCGTGTTGCGACTGTAAGATCTAGCATTGCTAAATTCATGTAGTATCGAATAAACGTATGATCCGTTCGAATCAACTACTATGTACCATGCGTCAATCATTTGTCCGAACGATCACTCGGTCTTCGAGGATTCGGTTCGACGATTTTATTCGATCGGAAGCCTGACGATCAACAGGATGGTCGGTCGGTCGGTCGGGCGATCCCTGGAGATCACGAGGGAGGCAGAGGTGAACGAGGGTGAAACAAAACAGAAACGAAATTCGTAGGAACCTTTTAGTCCCGACGGGCCACGCCAGGACAGATTATCCATCCATTATTTCTCGCGCTGGAAGAGGGTCGATCCGAGATGGAAAGTCGCGTGTCCCGCGAAAATCGGCACCGACCACTTTTTTTTTTTCTCGACGCACAGGGGTGGCTTTTAAACGGCCCCGTAGCCTCTCGTTATAATCCGGCGTGTGCCGCCGCCGCTCGATTCGTTTCCGTCGCTCGCGAAAGGATGTAATTAATATCGTCGCTCGGCTTTCGAATTTGCGACTGCGCGCGCTCGTCGCCGTCTCGCTCCAGCTTCCCTCTCGCGTTCTATATACATCGCTCCGGCCACCCTCTCGCGGGGGTGGCCTCTCGTCGCCGAGGTTCGAGCCTCTCAGTCGTGCCGAGAACCCGCTTCGTTGCGGGGTCAACTCCTCCGTCGAGGAGACTTTTCGTCGCGACAACAAACCGTCTAGTCGCGCGGTTTCACTTCTCGGTTGCATGTCGTGTTCGACGCTACGCTTGTTACTATTCCATTTCACGAGAGTGTATCGAAGTGTTCGCGATCTCTGACGTTCAGTTAAAACACGGACCGTGATAGGAATAGAAATTCTCGTCGAAAATAGAAAGGGCAACAACTCGTTTATATTTGTCGATCGGACTGTGGGTAAAGGAGTTCGGAACTTGATCTTGATATCGTCCAAGTGACGGATCGAAGCTTCGTAATAAGGGAGCGTTGGTCCCGAGGGAGGTCGGTGAATCCGTGGGAAGAGGGTCTAAGGAGAAGAAAGTGGACCCCGCTCTCCACCGGCTGCGAAACTCTTTTTGAGGATAAAGAACGATCCTCTCGGGAAACCGGTGGAGCGCGTCGAAGGGAATCGCGAGCGTCGAAGAGCAAACGAGAGCCAGCTTTGCCTCTCGCCTTTCGCCTTTAACGTCCGTGGACGATTTTCGTGTCTCCCAAAACGGCCGATCGATCGGGATCGTTAAAACGTTACAACTATAGAGGGAACGGAACGAGCTGGTTGTATCTCGCAGCGGGTAATTAAAGATACAATTAATGGCCCGACAATTAAATATAATTAACTCGAGGGATAGGATACGTGGCGTCCGGCTGCCAATTAGCGCATTAGCGCCTTATCGGGCATCGGCCGATCGTCTGGCCACGCTGCTGGTTACGCTCCAGACAATAAAATCACCGTAATCGATTCGGGGAGAGGCGGAGGGAAAGGGTTCGCGAGAGGTTACGTGATTCGGACCCTGGAAGAGGAGAAGAAGAGACGAGGACTCGGCTACCGCGTAATGAGGATCGATTAACCAGCCTTCGACGCGTTACCGTTCCCGGACGATCCACTTTCGAGATCGTCGATTCGAGATAGAAAGATTCCGAGGGAACTTCGAGTAGCTGGTTCTTAAAGAAACGATGAGAATACCGAGCCAAGTTGCGCGCACTCTTTGAAGTCGGGCAACGAAGAGGGTACTTTCGCGAAACGAGCTGGATTACATGGTCGAGCGAAGGGTTAAAGGCATCAACCCTGAACTTGGAACCTCGTGGCAACTTCGAAACCGCAACATTTCGTAGACGAGAGGGAGTCGAAAGAATGCTCGCAGCTGGCAGCTCGTGACAAACGGGGCTTCCGGTCATCGAAAGGTGAGTGTCGATGCATTATTAAATATCAGAAACGCGGAATCGTGAAGAACGAGGGACTTTCCCTCCCATGGGAAATGCCGGCGTATCCCGGAACAGAAATTTCTTTATGCCGTGGCTCCGCGACCTTTCGCCCCGTCTCCGAGGAATTTCCCGGTCTATTACTTTCTAACCGTCCCACCGTATCGCCTCCCCGTAATAGTCTCGCGTTATTCTTTTCCTTTAACTCTACACCGGATCGCGACTCGCTTTTCATCCACCCACGAGTCACTTCGACATCCTCGCCTGCCGAGTTCAACGAACTTTCAACAGTCCACACAACAATTAGCCAGTTTAATTAATTGTCACAATATATGTTTACAATTAATTAATATATCGAGTGTATAATTATCATCATTGATACTGTTTGTATTCAATTTAATTTATTATAATTGATTTTCGATATTGATCACATGCATCAGAATGATTCAGATTACGCGATTGACGGGTTCTGATAAAATATCGGCAAATTTGGTTGACGATGGAATGCGTTATCGATCAGCGTGAAACAAGAAGCGATACAACGCAACGAACCAGTTGGAGGAGCTCCGTTAACCAGTTAAGCGCGAACACGGACTTAACTTCGCCTGATCAAACGAAAACTTTCGCGGCTACGATGATTAATAATTTCGCGTGCATTGAACCCCGAGCGTTCTCCTATTTACAGTGTGTACCGTAACTAATTCGTATTCCTCGAAAGTTTCCGTAGCAAAACCCGGAATTGCCGGTCGACGCAGCGGTTACAAAAACTATCTGGCCCCGCGTTTAATTTCCTCGATCTACATTTTAATATCTCCAATAAAGTGTCGGTATGCAAATATTTTTCATACTTGTTGCGGAACAAGTTTCCAACGTAAACTCTGCCTTCGTGTACGTACAATGATTTTAGCGAGGGAGTTTGTAAGGGAATATCGACCATGGATAAAATTTAATGTTTCCTGCGGGTGCGATTAATTATTTCGTCACCGATGTCGCTCCAAAGAGGTTATCGAATCTCCCTTAAGTACTTGGTAACCTTACGCTCGCCGTAAGGGTGGCTTTAGCCGGTCGTAAAGCCGTGGAGAGGCTCAGATTTTGCGACTCGGGCAATTCCGGTGCACCTGCGTCCATCCTGGGGGCTAGACGTGTAAAGAGAGAACCGAGATACCGAGAATGTATGCACACGCGAGGGAGAGAGGGAACGGTTCGAGAGCATTATTAAGGACCCCTTGTCCTCGCTCATTACGCCATCCGAGAAAACCGCGTCGTACGTTCTCGGCTTATCTCCATTAGGAACCGGAATTACGTAGATATCGTGCGTTTAAGTGCGTGATAAGGGAACATTTTTAAGGACGTATAGGCTATACATATA